CCACACAGTGGTAATTTATAAATATTAGAAAGTGATTTCTCATAATCCTGGAAGCTGGGAAGTCCAAGATCAAGGCGTCTTCATATGTCTACTCACATCTTCCATGTCTAGTGATGGGTCACTCTCAGCTTCCAAGATGGCACCTTATTGTTGCATCCTTACATTGTAGAAGGTGAAAGAGCAAAAAGAAACTAAAGGACTTGCTTCAATCTTTTTTTTAAGAGTAATAATTCCATTCAGAAGGAGCAGGAGGGAGTGCTTATGACTTAATCATTTACCAAAAGGTGCCAGCTCTTAAAACTTTACTTTGCATATGAGGTCCTAAAATATAAAATTTGGAGGGGCACATGCATTCAATCCCTAGCTCATGGATACTTAAAAGTAGAATTCTGTATCAGAGGCTGATGTGCATTTTCAACTTTGCTAGTTACTGGCAAAATCTGCTGTCCAAAACTGTACTGGTTTATGTACCCTTTAACAGCATGAATTCTAGTTCTATACTTGTTTTCCATGCTTTAAAAATTATATCAATTTAATGGTTGTGAAATATATAATTGCTGTTTTAATCTGTATTTCTCTAGTTATGTGTGAGAGTGAGCTTATTTTCACATATTTGTTTGCCATTTAGAGTTTCTTTCTCTATGAATAATTTGGACATTCCCTTTGCCTATTTTTTATATTGGAGTTTACCTTTTAATGATATTATATAACTTTATATATATGTTAATATATATAACTTTATATATCTAGTATGTATATAACTTTACATATGTGTGTATGTGTGTGTGTATACACACACACACACACACACACACACACACACACAGAAACACTAATCCTTTATCAGTTATATATGTTTCAAATACCTTAAGTCTATTGTTTTTTTCAGGCTTTTAAAATGGTTTTTATTTTTTAAAAGTTAATATGTGCATTACAGGAAAAATAAACACACAAGCAAAGAAGTTATCCAATCACAAGCAGCTTAGTTAGATGTGTCTCTCTAGGTTGTGCGTATATATACACAATATTTCATTATGTGTGATTGAGATCATAGTGTGTATCATGCTTTTGCATAAGGCTATTACTTTTTAACATTTTGATTCTTTTTCCTTCAGAAGCTTAGAATTTTTACTTAACAAAATTTACAAATATTTTCTTATAAGAGTTTTGCTTTTTGTGTGTAAGAAAATCTTTACCACAATAATTTAAAGATAATTAAAAAAATTATTCTAATACTTTTAAAGGTTTTGTTGTTGTTGTTGTTTGTTTGTAGTACCAGAGATTTAACCCCGGGGTGCTTAACCAGCGAACCACATCCCCAGCCATTTTTATTTTTTATTTTAAGACAGGGTCTCACTAAGTTGCTTAGGGCCTCACTAAATTGCTGAGGCAGGCTTTGAACTTGGGATCCTCCTACCTCACTCTTTGGTCACTAGGATTACAAGCGTGGGTTACTGCACCCTGCCTTAAAGTTCTGTTCTTTATATTCAGGTATTTAACATATCTGGAAATTATTTTTATGTATGATGTTAGGTGGGTTACTAAAATTTTTTCACATGAAAGTTGTGTTAATACCATCTACTGAATACTCCATACCTTCCTTACTCTACACAATTCAACAAAGTGAAATTCAAAAGAAATTCACCAAAGTAAATTCAGAAATTTGGAGTTCTGTGTTGGGAGAGAAGTATAACTTTATTTTTTTTTCCTTTAATTTTGAAGTATAACTTTAAGTAGGACAATCTTGGTTGTCTTGCTGAGGAGTTGACCTTGAGGGAAGTCTTGAAATAAGTCGGGGAATTGGAATGTGAATATTTGTAGGATTGTTAAAGCTAGTTTTTATATTATGCTTAATATGTGTTAGGGTCTTTTGTATATTTGTTCACTTAATCTTCAACACAACTGAGATAGGTTGTTATTTTCATCACTCCTGTGTAACAGATGGGTGAACTGAGGCACACAGAGATTAATTAACTGACTCAAGGTCACCATCTAATAATTAGTAGTCAGAATTTGAACCCAGGCAGTCTGGCTACAAGTCCAGGCTCTTACCATTATATTATTCTATAGCATGATGCCATTGATGTTGATATCTGTTTCATTCCATTGATCTGTGCCCTTTAGTCCTACATCACATTACCTTCATTCCTATAATTTTATAATAAATCTTGGTAGGGTAAATCTCCTAATTCTCCCTTTTTATAATGGGCTTGATTGTTCTTTGAGTTCTATATTATTCCATACAAAATTAAAATTTCATAAAATTTTGACATCAATTTTGAGGTCTCACAAACTCCTGTTGGAGTTTTTAACTGGAATTTCTTCATATTTATAGACTTCTTTGGAAATAATTGATACAACATTGTATCTTGCTATCCATTCTCATTATCTGGCATTAATTCACAGCGTCTCTTATGTTCTTCAGTAATTTTATTTTGACAAGGAAGATCTTACATATTTTTAAATTTATTCTTAGGTTCCTTGTGGTTTTTTGATCCACCTAAAAAGTTTATATATTGTTCTTACCTCGATTGCTATTTGCTTAGTTGCCACATAACAGATCATACTCTGTTCTTCTGATATGTTACAATAAACTACCACTTTGTATGTGTGTGTGTGTGTGTGTTTGTGTGTGAGAGAGAGACAGAGAAAGAGAGAGAGAGAGAGAGAGAGAGAGAGAGAGAAGGTTTGTTTCCTGATCTTGTTTGTTAGTCTGAGTTTGATTAACCCAGAATGCAGCATGTCAAGAGAGATCTAAGCCCTTCTCCTTCATGATTTTTGCAAGGCACATAGTTCTGTCCTGTCTTCTCCATGTGTCCTCAAGCTTTTCAATGGGTAGTGATGGATGTCTCCTACTCTGTATCTTGCCTGTAGTATTGGGCACATAGTAATTACTTAAAGGATCTTAGTGCTGCATTTCCCACAATGGTTTTCTATTCTTTTCCTTCAATGTGCTTACTCCATTGAGCTTTTGACAATGACTCTTCCTTGGTCCTTAAATTGATTTCCATATTTAAATGCACTTGAGACCTTTTCTTCTGTCAGTGGCCCTTTTCTTCTGAGGAAGTGAAGAAAAGGGCTTTAGTGACAGCTGAGAGTTCTTTGAGAAGACATATCTTTGTGAGATAATCTAGACCAGTTGTTGCAAAAGTCCCCCCCCACACACACAAATCATTAGATTGTGGCATGCTTGGTGGGAAAATAAAGGTTCTGATCTTAAAAAAAGAGGGAAGGCTTTTATACTAATTTTTCATCCTAGAGAATGTGCCATATTTTAAGTATGTTAAAGGCTCTGATAAGTTTTATGATAAAGAAAAGTAACTTCATATTTAGCCCATCACTTTTTCAACATTTTTGACCACAGATTTTGTTTTTAAAAAAATGTTGGTCTTGTCTATCCCTGTTATATATAAAGCAAAGTCATTTATCCTAGGCTGTCTACTAAAGACATCAGTGGCATCCAGTGTTGGTGCAAAGCCTTTATCATGAGGAAATTGCCTCTACAATCTATTCTAAATCATTCATGTTTAAGTTTTATCATCTCAACCATTCTTATATCCTTACCGGAAATAAAGCCATCTTGAGTTCTGATGCAAAATCAGTTGCAGCATACTTACTTGAGTACATACAATGTGTAAGAAAGGAGTTTTAAAACACTAACTTTGCTGGGATTCTCATATTTCATGCTCTTATTCCTTGATATTTCTCTGCTCTTGACCTGAATAAGTCTGATTTTTCAAAAGGTGTCCACAATGTATGGCAATTTCATATGAAAGAGAAAAAGAAAGACACATGGACTCCCCTGAGATTCTGATAGAATAACCAGGAGACCAGCAGCAAGGTGTTAAGGGGACTCTAACTGGATATGATGTTGCACCCTTGAGGCTGTCCACCTGACTTACATACATAGCTTAGGCTTTTCTGAGCTAATAGCTTTCAGAGAAGAAAGATGATCATTTTTTAAAACGTCTCACTTGGAAGCATGCTTTTAGAGCTGAATTTCCTGGAAGCCAAGCAAAAATGGAACCAGGATAGTTTTAGCCTTCTATACATTAATGTATGTAGTCTCCATTGTGAATATGATAGCACCCCCCCCATTTAGTTTCTCATCTTTCTCTTCTGTATTATAGTTTGGCTTGATCAAAGGAATTCAGTTTTGACGCTTCCTTGTTCTTGACAACATACATGATATAAAGAAGCGAGTTAATGATATATAGACAGTTTGAGGAGAGACTTGTTAATATTTATGTTGTAGATAACAGATTCACTTCCCATGGAAAGATCTATGGGTTGGATTTGAACTCTCAAACAAAGCAAATTTTATTAAACAAATTCTTATACCAACCGAAAAGGTTTTGGGTGTCCTTTTCCACGTTTACCTTCCATGCAATTCTACAAATATTTTCTCTTGTCATTTTCCTATTTCCTCTTAGTCTACTTCACTGAGTTCATATTAAAAAACAACCAGTTGTTGGATGTCTGAACTAAAATGCCTTAAAGAATTTGCAGATTTGATTGTTGTCTCTCAATAGGGTAAAAGGAAGAGAGCTACAATTTCTATGAAGCCTGGTTTGGCTGTCAAGTCTGGCCTCCAGGCAGATTAGGCCAAGGTTTTGGCCAAGTGAAATTGCCAATTTTCTAAAAGAAAGGGCTAGCACATTGCTCATTAGAGCATTCTGAACTTGCCTGTGCAATCTTTTTTGCTACCCTGCAATTTCCTGTTGGTTATAAATGAAACCTTTCTAGCTGTTAATGCAGGCTGTGAATTGAAAAAAAAAGCATGTAATTAATCATAGGAGGTTGGTGGGGGGAGTGGGATTCACTAAGCCTGAATAACAGGGGAGAAGCTGGACAAGGCACTAGGACCTAGAAGGCATCTATCCACCCTGGCAGGAATTTCTTGCTTGGAGCTCAGACAACAAAGGCATAGAGAGATTGGTTTTCTTTCTCTCAGCATCTCCACCCAACCAGCAGAAAACCGGTGAGTGGGGCTTTCGAGTGATTTTCAGCAGAATGTAACAGATGTCAAAGGGGGAAAAGCACAAGGCAAAGTGCTCTCTCTCTGTGTCTCTCTCTGTTTCTCTCTCTCTTCTCCTTTTTTGCCTTATTCTATTGGATTTTTTGCCCTAAGCTTCTACCTGGGATTTTTCCTTTGGAAAAGTGAGTTTGATATTCCTTTGTTTTCACTATAATGTTAATATAAGATAATATCATCTCTGATCCTAAAGCAAAGCAAAGCATTATTGGCTCACCTGGGGAAATGCTTACTACTTGTCTAGAGGAGGTGGGGTCTTACTACTGTAGGTGGTCTGACAGAGACAATGCTGAGCTCAGTGTAGGTCACGGTGACATTGGAAAAAAAAGGGGGACTGAGCCTGACAAGCCCACTAGGCACCAGTCCCCCTTTATCTCCTGGTCCCTTGCAAATATTTTGATGTGGCAGTGTATAGCAGCTGAGCCCTGCTTGCTTTGTGAGTCCTTTTATCCCCATCTGTGAGATGCATGTTAATAGTTTGGTTCATAGAATGTAACTACCTTTTCTAGTGTTTGGCGCTTTGGTTGTGTTTGGTTTCATGTTTTCATTTTTTTTAAAAAAATATTTTATTTTGAGGTTTTGTTGGGGGGAGGGTTCAACAGAAAGGGAAAAATCAAAGCCTGACAGATAACTGTTTTTAACCTTTGCAAATGCACCTGGGCAAATAGACAAGTTTGGGGTGAATTGTCTACTATGAAAGCAAAATGCCCCTTCGGTCAGGGTAGAAGCCCAGAACAATGAGAGGTGTGCTTGCTTCTAAAGTCCCATATGTTGTTCAGGGACTCGTTTGAGAATCTTTCAACAATTAAATTATTCCATTAAGAAATATTGCTGCATTGGTGGGGAGGGTTTGAAGCACCTGGAGTGGGGGAACAGGATTTTGTGACCAAATGGTTACCAAGAGGAAAGCAGAGCTAAAAACTTGTTAAATAACTGATTTTTTCTAATCCTTTTTTTTCAGCATATTTCTTCTTATGAATGTTGATAACTGCACCAGCTTGGTGGGGAGAGGGTTTGATGAATAGCACAAAGACACTGGGTATTCCCTAGAGGCTGTCCCTTTAAAAGAGAATTCTAGTTTATTCTGGGGGAGGGGATGCACACATTAGAGTAGGAAAAAGGGATTTGGAATAAAATTAAAACACCCCCTTCATAGTCATTGTACTGAGGTGTAAAGACTGCTTCTTAAGCTGGAGATGCTAACCTTGGCTAGCTCCTTCTGTTGTCTTCAAGGGGAATTTTGTCAGGCTATGGATTCATTTACAACTGTTAGTCATGTGGGCTTGTGTGAGGAAACAGATGCCAGTTTTAATGTATTTAGCCCGAAGTTACAATTTGATAGGAGCCACTGTTAGTAAGTTCCAGGATTTTAAGCTATTTCAAAATCCCTCCCTCTTCTCTGTTTGGAATAGCGCCAAAAAGTGCCTCCCTTTCTATCTCTTAGTCCCAACCCCCACACCCACCCGCACCCCCGCCCAGCCCCTCCTTCTTCTCTATTAAGATCAATATTCCTGCAGGTCAGGGGCAAGCAGCAGATGGGTCACAGCCTCCCTTCAACCAGTTCTTTTCACAAGCAGCAGATTGCATATCTGAATCTGGCTAATATTTGAATTCTCTTCTTTTTTCTCCTTACCCCTTTTTCTCTGCCTCTCCTTATCCCCACCCCTTTCTCCAACACTCAGGTCTCTGAGGTTTTTTCAAAATATGGAACTTGATTTTGGACACTTTGACGAACGAGATAAAACATCTAGGAACATGAGAGGCTCACGAATGAATGGGTTGCCCAGTCCAACTCACAGCGCCCACTGTAGCTTCTATAGAACCAGAACCTTGCAGGCATTGAGCAATGAGAAAAAAGCCAAGAAGGTACGTTTCTACCGCAATGGGGACCGCTACTTCAAAGGGATTGTGTATGCTGTGTCTTCTGACCGTTTTCGCAGCTTCGATGCTTTATTGGCGGACCTCACGAGATCTCTGTCTGACAACATCAATCTGCCTCAGGGAGTGCGTTATATATACACCATTGATGGATCCAGGAAAATTGGAAGTATGGAAGAACTAGAAGAAGGTAATTCAAGTAGTGGGTGGTCGTCCTTAGTGGGAAAGGGCATCCTTGGTTGTGATTACATTCCTGGATTTCATTGAAAGAAATTAGGCAATGTGTTTCTCCAAACATCGGGCTGACTGATGTTCTGACTTCTGATCCTATAGGCATCAACAGAGCCATTAGCTATCATTGTTCATGAGCTTCAGTCTCTGCTAGCGTTGAAATATGTAGATGATGGTGATAATGTGTGGTGCTTATCTGCCAGTCTATACAAAGGAAAATCTGAATTGTGGCATTTAGTGAATCTTGTTCATAATTAACTCTGAGTGGCATTATTAAGGCAGACTATGATATCATCAGGGGAGTAACAAGGAAGGACACATGGTTGGGTTAATAGAGAAATTATTATGTCCAAATTTCCTTTGAACTACTGTAAAATTATTTGTGAATTGCAACTCACTGGAAATATACACCCTAAAAACAGGACTTTCTGGACATACAGAAGATTATACTTTTAGGTAAGTTGTCACTGCTCAGCTGTTGCTTCTAAAAAGCCCACTTCAGGGTGTGTCCCTGAGGCTGAGATCATTGGGAGAAATACCAAAGGAAGCTGTAGGTATGTCTGGTATTTTAATACAAAAAATTCCTATTAGAATGGGAACTGACTCACCGTACCTCAAGCCTTTTAAATCCTCTCTAGATGTGGGTATTGCAACTGAATTTTCTGACTAGATTGCTGAACATGCTGACAACCTGTGTATCCACCTGAAAATAGGGGGAACCCCAGCTCTTTACCAAAACTTACTCAGCCATAAAGTCTTCTTTGTGATCATTTAGAAAACAGATCTCAGGTTATGTTGTTAATATTACATTATTGGATGAATTATATTGATGATATTTCCCTACCCCTACTTTTAAATTGGTGGGTATGACATATGTTATTAATTTGAGCTGATACAGTGCATTAGTGCATTAAAGGACAGCTTCAAGGAATGGTGATAATGAAAATATTCCTCCTCAAACCCCTCCCCCATTATCCAGTCCTCCCTCCTCCCTCCCTTCATTCCCTGAGCAAAGGTGAGTTTAGAGCAAACAGATCTCTAGGGAGACCAGATTATGAAATGGCCAACAAAGCAGGAGAAACCACATACTTAATGACTTGGTATGGGAATACCCTGCCTCTGCTTCACTGCTTCTAGGTTTCTTGTGTTCCTAGACAAAGGAGCATCAGAGCTCCCCTTGTACAAGATTCCATTTCTCTTGAGTAGCTGCTATTTCCCAAGTAGTCAGGCAAAGTGATTTGGGCCAGTTACTTAGAGAAAGAGAAAGTGTCCATATGGTTGTGACATCTCAGTGTCAGGATTCAAGTCTGAGATCATTAACATAGATAACCTTGAAAAGCAATTCCAAGGAGGTTTAGATCATTTGATCACATGCAGAATGGGCAGGCAGAGGTTAATCTTAGGCCTCTCCTGACCATCAAGGGGTTGGAGGTTCTAGTACATTTCTTAAAAGAAAGGTGAAGCAGGACAGACTCAAAGAGCTTGAAGCTAGGTTGAAGGAGCTGTCCAACTGAGTAATCAAAAGGATGTGTGTCTTTGTTACTGTAAAATTAAAAATTCAGTCAAATTTGAAGGATTTCTCTGTAATAACTTTCATGAACAAAGCACCCTGAATCATTCAATTGGCTTCATTTCTACTAGCTATGATCTTCTAAAGACCATCATAGATGCTAAGGAAGAATTCTGAACCAAGTGATACTGTATTTGGAACAAGGATTAGAAATATTGTTTTACCTGATCTCAGACAGGTGTTAGGCACAGATTTCCCCCCAAAATCCACTTTCACATTTTTTTTTCTTTCTGGATGTGTGTGTGTGTGTGTGTGTGTGTGTGTGTGAGCGTGCGTGTGCACACGTGCATGCACACGCGTGTGCAATGTTTTGGGAGAGGTGATAAATAATCTCAGTTCAATATATGTATGTATCAAATGTAATTTTGAAAGGACTGCAGCTTTCTCTTCCCTGAGTCCTCTTGAATCCTTGATAGATTGGATTCCTCTCATCTATCATCTCTGGGCCACTTTGGGTGCAGTGTTACTTCCTGATTAATTCCCAGATAATGTAGACTATAAATAGGGCTCAGTTGAATTTATTCACATGTCATCTATAAACATAAGTCACGATGGATGTCAGTGTTCCTCCAGTCCTGAGTACTGACCATTCTGTCAAGTAAATTCAGGGGTATCTCTGGGTTAATGTTGATAAATGTGATCAATTTTCCTACTGCTGTAGAGACAAATGGGCAAGGGTACTAGGAGAGGAGAATAAAGAAAATGGCTCTTTTCCTCTTCTAATTTGTTCTATTCATGTAGGAAAATTGGATGCTTTCCCCTTTCACTTTATTTACCTTTTGAAGAGGTTAAATGAAAGTTTAAAAATCATGCACATTGTTTTCTGTTAGCTTCAAATTGAAAAAGTTTGGAAAGATTCCTGCATGAAGAATCAGTAGTACTGGGTTCTAGTCTTAGAGGCAGCAGGTTATAATGGGAAGAGGAGTGTTTGGAATTATATTTAGTTCAGATTTGGGGTCTTCAGATGCTAGTGTGTGTGAACTTTGGGAAAGCATTAGAAACACTGAGCTTCAGTTTTCCATCGGTAATATAGGAGTAGCTGCTTTGAGAATTAAATAAAATAATGGATATGAAGTGCTTAGAGAGTATCTCTGTGCCAGGAAGGAACAGTAAGTACTTCATATCCATTATTTTTGAGTCTTTCTAGCTTATAACTGGTTAACTACCTGAGCATAGATTTGCCATTATCATCAATGTGATGAATATTTTCTTTTTCAAAAGGGTTTTTTTCCTTAAAAAAAACTTTCAAAGCATAATTTGCATATCAAAAAAAAAACATCATTTTAAGTTACAATTCAATGGTTTTTAGAAAATTAACTAAGTGATGCAATTATCACTGTAATCTAATTTTAGAACGTTTTCATCTTTTGAAAAAGAAACCCTGTACCAATTAGCTGTCACTGCCTATCCTTCTAGCCTCTGCATACCTAGGCAATCATTTATCTAATTTCTGTCTCAATAGATTTACCCATTTTGGACATTTCATATAAGTTAAATGATACAATATGTGTTCTTCTGTGCTTCTTTCTCTTAGAATAATGTTCTCAAGCTTTGTCCATGTTGTACAATATATCAGCACTTTGTTCCTTTTTATTGTGGAATAATGTTTCATTGTGTATCCAGATCACATTTTGCATATCTCTTGTGAGTAATATTCATAACTACAAAGGGAGACTTGTAACACTTGCCTTTTCATTAGGGTGATTGTGAGGATAAAATTAGATATGGTATGGTAGAATAGTGACCAAGTACAACTATATAAAGTATCATTATCATTAATGATGAAAGACTAATAATAATGAGAATAATGATGCTAATGAGGGATTGTAATGGCCAGTGATCCCCAAACCTGGCTACCTTTAAAAATCTTTCAGAGCTTTAGAAAAATATAGATTCTTGGGCCACACCTCAGACTTACTGTATAAGAATCCTCAGGGATAGCACCCCAGAATTTGTTTTTACAGATCTTGATGGGTGATTCTTATGAGCACTTAGAATTGGGAAGTATTGGATTAGGTGATCTTGATAATCCTCTTCAGCAATAAACAATGTTAGGAATTCCTATGAATGCAGAAATCATTTTTTGTTGTTGTTGTTTGCTTTGTAGATCTTAAAGATGTTTTCAAGAGTCCACACTATTAAATAGTTAATCTAAAATGAAATGAAATAAATAGTAACTGCTTAATAATCACTGTGACCTTGTGTTCCCCTTTGTCTAGTGTCTCTAGTACACTGTCCTCTGCCAGATGCTGAAAGTATCAAGGGAAGTAGGTAGCACAAAAGTTGGGTTTTTGATGTCAGCTTTTCCACAGGTCCTTGGGTATACCAAGGGTCTTAGCAAGGTCACATAGGATGTGGCCCTAGATAACTGTATCCCCAGTAGGTCAGTGAATGAAATCCACTGATGGTATTGTTTTTTGTCTTATCTTTCCTTATATAATCATTCTCCTTTGCTTTATATACTGTCTAATGTTTTTCTAACTCCCTTGTATATGTACCAAATCAATTGTATGGGTATATTTAAGACTAGATAGTTTTTATTAATGCAAATTTAGACAAGTTTGAGCATTATTATGCAGACGATGGGACAGACTATTTATAATTGGGACAGTCTTGGAAAATCTGAGCTGTATGGTGATGTTATGATCCAGTTTCTTTGACATAGCTTGTTTGTTCCAATGAGGTGGAATCACCTTTCACTAATTTATTCTCTACTAAAGCAAGCACATTGACAAAAAAATCTAGGAATTTTAAGATATCTGGGAGTGATTCATTATTAATAGGCATGAAAATATAAGAAAGCATAATGTAATATTTTAATGTAAAATACAATAATGTATCATTTAATATTTTATTTCTTGAGTTAGGAATCCCAGGAGAGGAAAAAGTCCATGTAAAAGTGCTTTTGCTTTGAGAAGAGATAAACATATTTAATGCTTTTGAAAATGAGGTCCTTCTAAAAGTGAAGGGATGTAGACGTTAGATCATTTTGAACCCACAGCTTGTTCCTTTTCTGCCCTTTAGCTGTGCTTCCATGACTTCATTTCCTCAGTCCCTCACCCTAAAGCCAGCTGTCAACTCCTGCAAATTGTCACCTTGGTTGGCTCTGAAACCAGCTTTCCTTCCAGGTTCCCAGCAGGTGGGAAGCCTCTGGAAGCTATGGCAGGATGGGAACCCAGCTGTGTAAAGGTGCAACACACCTCACCCAGCTTCCATTGCCAGGCAGCTAAATGAGTAGGAGGCACCAAGATCTGGCAGTAGACATTGCAAATGCTTGCAAAATCAGAATAAGGAAGCTTTAGTATAGTAAAGCGGCACATTTGATATCTTTCCAGTAGTAGAAGTGAAGGGTCCTTGGTGGGAGCACCTACTTTTTAAACATTTAATTACTGTAAAAAGTTTTATTTTCTCAAATGTGCTTGGGATGGAAGAGAAGAAGAAAATCCCTTCTTATAGATCTTTAGACCTAGAAGGGATTCAGGTATCCCTGGTGAAATACTTTCAAGTTGTGAATGAAAAAGCTGAGACTGAGAGAGACAAGTGATTTGCCCGAGGTCATACAGTTCCTAAGTACCTGGTTTGGATTTGAATCCAAGTCTGTCTGATCCCCAAGTCACTACTCTTATATCCTCATTGGGAATCAGCAATGGCTTTGCTGAGTCTTAGCTACAGAACTTCATTTGGCATTTGTGGCAATTGGGAACCCCCTCCCAAGTGGCAAGAAATCTTGCTTTTGAGGGTGGGATCCCAGCAGTGCTCAAGCTATATAATGATCACAGCTCAGGGCTGAGTACTGACTTGATGCTTTCTATTTTCTTTCCTTCAGTTCTCACTTCTCATTCCATTTCCTTTCTCTTAACTTTTTCTTCCTCTTCCTTTTTCACACTTTCCTCCTTGTTCTCTCCTCTATTCCATCATTTGAGGGGCTTAATAGTAATAAAAATTTATGAAGTGCTTATTGTGTTCTAGTCTCTGGGCTCAGCACTTTCTATCCACTATTTGATTCAAACCCACAATTCTATAAGGTATTATTAGCATCCTCACATTGCAGACAAGTCACTGGAGTCAAGGAAGACTAGGTATCTGGCCCAAGGGCAATAACTATGAAGTGTTAGGGACCCAATTCTGACTGACATCATATCAGCTGTTCTTTTTCCATTACTTAGTATTCAGGCCAAAAGGAGAGAGTGGAGTGACTCAAATGTACCCTCAAAAGGTGCTCAACATAGATTTGGCTGAGTGCTGGGCCCTCTGGAAAGTTCTTAGGTGCCATATGATACTCTAGCTGTTTGCCATCATGTTCATTTTCATCTAGGGGTAGTTAATCATACTCATAGTTCAGAGGCTTAAGAGGTTTAAGAGATGGGGGCAAAAATGTCCAGAGTCCTGATAGGGCTACACAGCTGACTCTACAGAAGAGACTGTGGATGAGGGAAATCATAAATATATAGACTTGCACATTTCCACACCACACAGTTGTCTGACAAAGTTTCAAAGTACATGACAAGTTGTGGAAAAAATCTGACTCAAAGGCAGTAGGACCTCTTGGAAGGTACCCATGAATCTGGTGAAGTGCTAAGGCAAGAGGCTATTTCTAGTTGGTGTGGGATATTAGATATGAATATATGGGGTAATTGAAAGAGCCCCCTTTCCCTATTAATTCACAAAATAAAGACCCTAGACTCTAATCACTTGAATAGAATTGGACTAGCTAGAAAGAAAGCTAGAAAAATTAAAGTTTCTATTAGCGGTGTCTTTGTTTCTCCCATCCTGGGTGCTCATGTGTGTACTAAGTGGAAATTGGTGTCTCTGTTTTACCTACAAGTCATCCCTTGGTTCTCCTATAAAGACAGAACACAAGCAGCCTCTCAGATTGAGGGAAGTTTAGAATACTTACCTTCCCCCTCCAATACAAGCATAAATGTCCTTGAAGTTACCCTAGAGATTCTGACTGAATCTTCTCTTAGCATCAACTGAGAAATTTATTAATTAATATGACTTAAAGGATTTTGTGTTATGGCAAAACAATCGATATTTGCAAAGGCAGTGAGTTATCAGCCTGGCATGTCTAAATGTCTCTGTGTGGTTATCCTGCTGAGACCAAAGGAAGGAGAAGAGCCATCAGACTATAATTGTGTTTAATGTTTTATTTGCACTGGCTAGAGTTTATTTATTTATTTATTTAGGGTCATTACTGATGATGTAAGCCTAATTAAATCAGACTGCTTCTGCAGCTCAGCCTCTGAATGAACTTCTGTATACCTTGAGGCTAATGCGTTTTACTGAAAATTCAACCTTTCTCAATATTTTCTCCCCCAGGCTGAGCCTACCTCTTTTCCTACTTTCTTCAATGTCTAGTCTCAGGTGTTTAATCCCCTCTTCTTGCCTCTGGCCCATTTCTTCCTGTGCATTAGTCATTTCCTCTAGCCCAAGGTAAATGTAAAATTTACACTAGATCTCTCCAATTCATAAATCAGACTATATGATATATTCTCACATCTGTCCTGCATTACTATGGTAATCAAAGGAAGTACTAGTGAAGATGACCCCAAATACAGAGATCTAATATACAGTATCTAGGAGGATAAAAAGATGCAGCATGGGTTGTAGAAGCCAGGAAGAGTACTTTCATGCAAGAGCCAGACTTAAAGAATGGTGTGTGTGTGTGTGTGTGTGTGTGTGTGTGTGTGCAAGTGTGCACACATGTGTACAGTTTGTTATTTAGACTCTTTCTCTACCTAGATATGGGAGTGAGCAATAAAGGAAAGGACATACTTAAACACACATATAGACATTCAAAACACATACATACACACACACATTTCAATATTCCACCACTTAAATATTCTGTACAAATGATGAACTGGCTTCTTACCAAGAGAAAACTATATGCCTCATATTCAAGGTTAATTGGTTCACTTTAACTTGGAATAAAAATATAATAAGTTTGAACTTTCTCCTTGGTTTATAATATAATGAAGGGATGAGGTAGGAGTTCAAAACCAGTATAAGAAAATTAGAAAATAAAGACATGGTAAAAAACCTCCAGTAATGCCCCAGAAGTTAATAAACATCCTAGAAACTAACATAAATGTCTAAATTCCAACAAAACCATATTAAGCTTGAGAACCCCACTAGTTAGATTAAATTTAGGAGTGTTCATTGTCCTTATAACACTTAACTTTACAGGGTTCTTCAACAAGGTATGCCATTGTATTGAAGCATGTTTTGTTGATTACTTTTGAATTTGAATGAGCCAAGTTAGCCCATTTAGGAATTCTACTTAAGGTTGGTTACTGTCACCTTTTCTCCAAAAGTCCTACTCCAATGTCAGTGTATATTAGTTTGGTTAGAGTCCATATATCTGCTATTGAACTTATCACTTAACTACTTATTTCTTCCCTTAGGGGAAAGCTATGTCTGTTCATCAGACAACTTCTTTAAGAAGGTAGAGTACACCAAGAACGTCAACCCCAACTGGTCTGTCAATGTGAAAACATCTGCCAACATGAAAGCTCCCCAGTCCCTGGCTAGTAGCAACAGTGCCCAGGCGAGAGAGAACAAAGACTTTGTCCGCCCCAAGCTCGTGACCATCATCCGCAGTGGGGTGAAGCCTCGGAAGGCTGTCCGTGTGCTTCTGAACAAGAAGACCGCCCACTCTTTTGAGCAAGTGCTCACTGATATCACCGAAGCCATAAAGCTAGAGACTGGGGTCGTCAAAAAACTCTATACTCTGGATGGAAAACAGGTAAGTTACCTTTTCAAAGTAGTCTTCTCATTTTTCACAATTCTTGGATAACTATCTTATAGACAAGCTATTGTTTCTGGTTGAGGGACTCTTTCTCCACATCTCATCCTTACATGATATTATATAATACCATTTGAAGGAAAAGGTCTTTCCAGCAGAAAAACCAATGGGCCAGGAATCTGAGGCTTTGAAATTCAATTTGCCTCAGACTTGCCAAGTATAATGGTTATTTAGCCTCAGCTTTCTTATCTGCTAAGGAAAAAATTTTCTTAGAAACTAGATCCTATAAATTCTTATAAATATAAAATGAGCAAGTACACAATAAACCTTGATTATTCAATACATATGACTAAAGATGAGATCTTATCACTTGTTTTTTTTTCTTAAATACCCTCATATTGGTATTTTGTATCCAGTCTGATGAAAGGAGGTTAAAGTGACTCTCACATGTTATCAAAAGGAGTCAGATATAGGGGAAGCACTGAAGCCTCTAGTTCACTGTCTTTGCCTTATACACATTTTTTTCCTCTCTCCCTTTTTACATGTGACATGGTTGTCTTAATTTGGTTCTACTGATGGTTTGTGTGAGAAAAGGACTATTTCGGGAACCTAAAATTAGCCCAAGAAAGATGGTGCCATCTGTTCCCCTCCAAATCAGGTTCTTCATGTCATTGGTTATACTACTGAAGTGCCACCTATATTAATATCTAGGAAAGAATGCAGCCAGGCGTCTCCATCAGACAGATGCACCATTCTCTTGAGCATAGGGATCTGTAAATATATGACAAAAAATGTTCCAAGAGAATTGGAACAGTGGCTGGTTCTATTGGCTCTAAGAGAATCCTGGTTCCCCATCAAAGAAGACAAATGTGGATTATTATCAGTCCATAATTCTATCTCTTAAAATACATTTTGTATTTGAACAACTATATAGATTCTAAAAAAGCATATTAACTATACATCAAAATGAATGATGAGTGTTCAAATGCAGTCATGCCTTCTCCTGATTCTGATTATAATGTGTGCTCCAAGATTTTAAATTTTAGGGAAAAATAACTCAAATAATGTATACTTAACAATATTGATAAATTAGTGGCTTCCATTTACTTCCTAGAATTATGTGATCTGAGAAATACCTAGAGGCAAGTATCTCTTATTTGTGTTTGTTGTACCAACACAGTGGGTTTACCTATGATACCAGGATAAGTGCCAACTTTTAAGCACCTATCTAATAAGAGTATTTCTCTTTTGAGCACTGTGTATATAATAAAAAAGGAGCTGCTTAGGAACAGGCTTAATTACCAAAACCTCATCTGAGGGAAATAGGATGTAGGAATTTTAGAATCTTTGGATCTTAGAGTAGACAATGAACTTAGAAGATATGATATTTACTCTCCTACCTAAGTTAGGGATATCCTCTTCAACCATTTCATAGAACATTCTAGTCCACTATTCAACAGTTGTGAGATTTAAAAATATTTTCTTTATTTTAGGCGAAAGTCTACTTTCCTATACCTTCAGCCTTTTGATGTAATATAAGAAAAATAAAAATCAAAGACATAAGATTAGGATTCAGAAGATTTTGTTTCTAGTCTTTATATTGCCACTTACTATATAACCTTGGACTAACCACTTAAGTGTTCTGAACTGCACAATCCTCCTTTGGTACAAATGGACCAATCCTACCTTCCCTACTCATGTTCACAGGATTCTTGTAAGGATCAAATGAAATAACAGGGGTGAGAGCACTCTGTAAATCAAAACACACATACATTTATATACAATGCATCATTAAATGACATTTATGGAAAATTATATATATTTTAAAGTTATCTCTGCCCCACCTACTTTACTTCTATCATTATTATTAAAAGTTTCCAACATTTTGTGGAAATGTAGCATCTCTGGGCATTCTGTAATCACTCCTAATATAAAAGATGGCACCTTCATCTCCTAGGTAGGTGACTTCAATCTAATTTTCATCTTCAGCAGGCCATGCAGAGTGGCAAACCCTCTGAAATCCTTTAAGCATAGTCCTCATTTCTTTGAGGAACACTACAAAACACCACCATGTGATATAGTGTGAAAATACAGAAACATAAGGGCGTGATGCTCATTGGAGCAGAAGAGTGTCTTTTCAGACATCTGCATGTCTCTCTATATAGTTCCTTCTCCTTAAAATGTCTCATTCTGCCCACTCTGACCCAACAAGGCCATCTTTTAAGGGCTTTTTCAAATGTTATTTTTTATCTTTGAAAATTTATGTCTCCACTAGATACAGTAAAAGCAGTTCTAACCTTCCTTTTCTTTTCCTTCTCGTATCTTTTCTCTTATTTATTTATATTCAGCTCCGGATATATACTACAGATACTCTATATATGTTTGGTATTTGAATGAACTGACAGACACTCACATGGCTCAGGGAGATGTTCTGAGAAGCTCTTCTCATCCAATGTTCCAGACACTACCCTTAGGTCTATCAGAAGTGATAGGAGGTTTCCAAAGGAGTGCATATCTTACCTGGACTCTTACATCTGGTATTTTATTTGGAGGTCACTGAGGGCAGATATTTATTTATTTGTTCTTTTTTTTAGATATACATGTCAGCAGAGTGTATTATATACACATGGAGTACAACTTACTGTAATGAGGATTCCATTCTTGTGGTTGTACATGATGAGGAGTTTCAATGGTCATATATTCATATATGAACATAGGAAAGTTATGTCTGATTCATTATACTGTTTTCCCTATTCCTATCCTCCCTCCCTTTCCTTCATTCCCCTTTGTCTAATTCAATGAACTTCTATTCTTCCATCTCCCACCCTTTTTTATGTGTTAGCATCTGCATATCAGTGAGAACATTTGGCCTTTGTTTTTTTGGGGGATGGCTTATTTCTCTTAGCATGATAGTCTACAGTTCCATCTATTTACCAATAAATGCCATAATTTTATTCTTATTTATATCTAAATAATATTCCATTGTGTATATATACCACAACTTCTTTATTCATTCATCTGTTGATGAGCAACTAGGTTTTTTCCATAGCATAGCTATTGTGCATTCAGCTACTATAAAGATCGAGGTGGCTGTATCACTGTAGTATGCTGATTTTAAGTCCTTTGGGTATATACTGAGATGTGGAATAACTGGATCAAATGGTGGTTTTATTCCAAGTTTTCTGAGGAATATCCATATTGCTTTTCAGAGTGGTTGCACGAGTTTGTAGTACCATCAGCAATGTATGAGTGTACCTTTTTCCCACATCCCCACCAACATTTATTGTTATTTGTATTCTTGATAATTGCCATTCTGACTGGAATGAGATGAAATCTCAGTGTAGTTGTAATTTTCATTTCTCTAATTGCTAGAGATATTGAACATTTTTTTCATATATTTGTTGACCATTCATATTTCTTCTTCTGTGAATTGCCTGTTCAGTTCCTTTGGCAATTTATTAATTGGGCTATTTGTGGGTTTTTTTTAGAGTTAAGTTTTTAAAGTTTTTTTTTGTATATCTTGGAGATTAATGCTCTACTTGAGGTACAGCTGTCCAAGGTTTTCTCCTATTCTGTAGGCTCTCTATTCTCATTCTTGATTGTTTCTTTTGCTTTCAAGAAGCTTTTTAGTTTGATACCTTCCCGTTTATTGATTTTTAATTTTACTTGGCTTCAGGAGTCTTGTTGAGGAAGTTGGTTCCTAAGCTGATATGATGTAGTGTTGGGCCTACATTTTTTTCCCTAGTAGGTGCATGATCTTTGGTCTAATGCCTAGGTCCTTGATCTACTTTGAGATTAAGGGCAGGCATTTAAATCAGTATTTCCCAAAGTATATTCTAAGGAAAACTGTCTTCATATCCTCACTCCTAGAAGTTCTTCAGGAAAGGTTTTGTAATCAGATAATGTTATAAAATTCTATAAATGTTATGCCCATCTTAGAAATTCACAGTGCTCACTAGCACATTAAATATGTTCTGAGAACTTAGACAGTGAGGAAACATTTAATTAGACCCAGGATTTTCCAATCTTTAGCCATAAACATTTTAAATAAAATTATAAGAATATATATATATATATATATATATATATATAATTTAATAATGAAAGAGAACAAAGAAATGCTGTTTATAGAGAAGATGCTGAATAATTTAGAACTAACTACCCTTACTTTCAATGGTAAGACTGGTATGCATTGGGTAACCCACAAATCAAATATTGTTGTGTTGGTACAGCAGGGACATTAAATAACAAAATTTGGGAATGCATGGACCAAACTACTAATTACAAAATAGCTGCTGACTATACTGAAAGTTGATGCCAAACTCAAAATTTTGGAGCCCATTCCATTTCCCAGTGCTAGTGATGACAGACAGCTCTAATATTACCACCTGTCAGTCACTTTGATTATTTGGTGGGTATTCTCACTACTGCAATATGATCTTCTGTAGAGGCCAAAGGCACATGTGCTGCAATGGTTTGAACACATTTGGATGAGATTCCAGTGACTGTCTTTGGCTACATGTGGCACTAAGTTGGAAAGGATAAAGTACAGTGAAGCCTATTTGTTATAAAATATTTTATTCATGAAATCAAGGCCATAACTTGATTTTCTAATTGAATCCCAGATCAACCAAACCAAGTGGTTTTGTCCCCTTCTTTTAAGTAATTATCAGCTAAAAGACTCCAGTTGATTTATTTGATTATACTGAGTTGTTGTTATTTCTGTTCTTGAGTATACCAGTTGGCTAATTGTTTTATATGGATGGACAAGAAACCATAGATATGGCTTTTTTTCTATTAGCTTTTATTTTGCTCGGATATGCTTTTGGAGTCTTCAACCTTTTAAGGCTTATGTTTTGCTGGAATAGAAGACTGGTTTCCTGACTTCTTGCAGAGGAAATATTTGTCTAAAGTTGTTAGAAAAGCAAATAGCTTGTACATAGAGGTCCAAACTAATTCGTGTCCTCAATAAAGAGTAGTTGGTAGGATCCTGTCTACTC